TCGATGGGATTTGAACACCCAACCTACCACTTGGAGGGTTGACAACCTGACCACTTCACTAGGTTGCCACACCCTATAATTATATAGTTACAACACCAAACCAAAAAAAATATTTAAAAAAACTTAGATCATATAATACAGAAAGTCAGACTGGTGAATTTATGACAAGTGAAATTAAAAAATATTACAGAATATTGGCCTTCAAAAATTTGCAGCACTTGTGACTGATTATGGATCAAACTTACGGGTTGCTTGTCAACTTATAAATAATGAACATCCTTCTATTTTAAACTTAAGATGTGCATCTTACGCAATTAATTTAATTGCTTCAGATTTAGCCAAAATCGATTTTGTTAAAATAGTTATTGTTAACTGTAATAGTATTTTAGAATTTTTTAATAGATCACATGTTGCTAATAGTTATTATAAAGAACAAATGGCTATTATGAAAATAAAAGAAGATGAAATTCAGATATATACAAAAACTCGATGGGGATCTTTATATATTACAACTGATTCTATAATTCGTTCAAAACCCATATTTGATTGGGTATGAATATTGATTATTTTATATTTTATAACAATATATTACTATATAGTACTATATAAAATCTTTTTAAAATACCAATTAATAGCATAACTATAATCAATAAATGATAAGCCATAATTTAATCTTTTTTTTTTATTTTGAAATCATTAGTTAGTATAAGTATTTATTAAGAAGTTTTAGGTTTAAATTAATATCAATTATTATTCATATAACAGCGATAGTAAATTATTAGCTTCAATTGTAATTATGTTATTGATCTGTGTTTTTGAGTTTCTAGTCGATTTGTACTGTATACAGTACTATAAAATAATTATTTTAATAAAACTATTTGTTTATTATTTTTATAGCTTTTAGAAAATCATTTTGAAATTATTACCAATAATACTGTACTCAACTTACTTCATAATGAAGAGTTCTATTCAAAATGTCGTCAAATAGCATCTATTCTTAAATCAGTAAAAAAATTAACAAATATTCTTAAGGGTCAAAATGCAAATTTAGCCAAATGTTTTGTTGGTATAGTAAAACTTGCTACAAGCATTAATCGAGTAGATTCAGGAAATCAGTAGAAAACCTTAATGATCAATAGTTTTAATCACCATTCTGAAGAATTCATTAATGATATCTATATATTAACTTACTGGCTTCATCCATTGTATCGTAGTAAGATTATTAATAATTATTTTTTAATTTTTAATAGTTTAATTATTAAAAATATTTATTTATAGGTCATGGATTAAAACAAGCTGTGTTAAATAAAATATATCAAACGGCATCAGTTATTTGGTATAATTTCAAGTATACTGAAGCATTGTGTTTAAGTTTTTTAACAGAAATGAGAATATAAAAATGTACAGAACAACCATATAATCTTAGTTATAATCGATCTAAAGAAACACCTATGAAATGGTGGTTGAGTATTAATGTACACAAAGAAAGTAATCAATTACAAGAACTTGCGCTATTTTTATTTTCAATTGCTCCGTCTCAAGCAGTTTGTGAGAGAAATTTTTCTATACTAAAATGGCTTTTTGAAGAAAGGTGAACACAATTAAGTTTATTACAAATTGAATCTATAACAAAAGTTCAATCTTTTTATATTTCAAATACAGATAAAAAATTAAAAATTTATGGTAAAGATATAAATGAAAATGATTTAAACGAAAGTTTAAATAACTCTATAACTATGCAACAAACTGAAATTTTAGAAATTGATGATAATTATATAGAACAAACATTAACTGATAATTTAAATATTAGTCAAATCGTTAATTTAACTCTACCTGAGTTTTTATCTACCAATAACAATTTATTTGAATCTGCTATCAATAGATTATTCTCTCATGAAAGAGCTCAGAATTTAGGGAATACTGAATATGATCTAATTCGTCTGGCACAACAAATGACAAATGAAGAAAATAATGAAGTTAATAATTTGTAATGAATTTTAGTATTTTTTTGCCAGTGGCAATATTGCCACCTATTATTTTTTTTATAAAATTTAGGGTCTGAACATTTTTACTTAGTACTTCTGACATGAGTTAGCCAGTAGGTTGTTGAGATATAGTATCTTCAGCAGTATCACTACTGGTGATAAATAGCAAAATTCTTTGTAATTTATGATAGGTATATTTTTTTATATATATATTTTACATATTTTTATTATTTATCAATAGATATTATATAGATATTTTTAAAAAATTATATATATATTGTATATGAATTTATAAAAAATTATAGAATTTTGTATAAGTTTTTAATTTATAAAATTAAAGTTTTGAGTGTTAAAATCTGAGATAATACTAATAAAAAAAATCACTTTTATAGATAATTATTTATTGTGACCTGATATATCTACATTACTTAACACTCAGTGGATTTGTAAAATTTGACCTATCATCCGACCTACAAGCCATCCTAAAACCAATTGTCTGATCTCAAAAAATCATATTGCTATAATACTGTAATAATAATTACAATATTAATAAGTAAAGCATTACAATGCATTATATCTTGCAAATCCAAGTTAAGCAAAGATGAAACCAGATACTGTAAATCCTCAAAATAAGGGGCATAAGCATTATTTCAAATTTTGAGCCTAATTTGAACTGAAATTTGAAATAACACCCATGCACATTATTTCAGAATTTACAGTAGTTTAATAAATAGAAAATTGGTATAATGCATAAATTATATGTACAAGTAGAATTATAAATAAAACAAGTAAAAACAAGTTATAACTTCGACACATATAACAAATCTAAAGGCCATGATAATCAATAGGAATTGGATTGGCTCATTAGTGAGCTAGCTTTGACCATGAATCAGAGCTGAGCTGAGCCAAGCCAAGCTGAGCCAGCTCACCCAAGCTGGCTTACCAAGCTGGCTTAGTCATATAATTATGTAAATACTCTACTAGGAATAAAATCATAAAATCTTGAATTTAATTATAAAAGTTTCTTATTATTTAGTATTATATATATGTGTATTATTAATTGCTATCTGTTCTATAATTTGATAAAGAATTGAGTATCACATGACTGGGTATGATTCATGATTAACTTTATCATAGATCGTGAACTGAGTTCATGATTAACTTTGTCATGGATCGTAAACTGAGTTTACGATTAACATTTATGGCACCAAAGGCGATCGTGAACTTACTATTAAAAGTGACTGTTAACTCAGTTTACGATCAGCTTTGGTATATTAATTTTGACTGTGAACTTGTTCACGATCAGTTAGCTTTGGTGCTATTAATGTTGATCGTGAACTCAGTTCATGATTGACATTGGTGCCATTAATGTTAATCATGAACTCAGCTTATGATCCATGGTAAAGTTACTTGAGTGCATCTTTTTGAATACTCAATTAATTGTAAATTTTGGCAAGCCAGGTATACTTATAACACCTGAAAAGTCTACAGATAATGCTTAGAGACAGTGCAAATCCACATGATTAGTTAATTAGCAGTTCAGGGTAGCAGCATAGTGACTTTAATTCTAGTTAGTCAATTATTGAAATGAGTTATATATATGTTGCATCTAAAGTAGCCACCCTATCTGAAGTAGCCCCTGACTAGAATTATGATTTAATGTATCTAATTTGGTTTTACCACAAAATCCTAACATCCAAAATCTTAACAGGCCATAATACTGACATCACACGATGTGACAATTAAAAATTTAAAGTTTAACAATGATTGTTAATGTGATTACTAATCTTTAAATATTAATTGTCATGCTGGGATTATGGTTTTTGAGATTTTGGATGTCAGATTTTGTGATAGAACCTCTAATTTCAGGGGCTTAATTTTAGTCAGATGCTACTTTACATATCTAAAGTAACTACTTTAGATGCAACATATATACTGCATATAGCAGCTAACTTTAAACCATGAAAATGAACTGGCAAAAGATACGACATTAAAATTTTGAAACTATACCTTTTACTCTATCTACAGTAAAAATAATCAGAAGAACAAAGAAGTTAGTGACAGGGTGCATCTTTTGTCTTATAGATTAAAGTAATTAAGAAATTGTAAGGTAATTCGTATCTTGGCTAATAAGTGTTAAGTTTTTTTAAAAAAAGACTTGAAATAGTGATTCAAACAATAATACTTACAGTTGTTTTTTCAATATTTTTCTTAATATAAGTCATTCGACCAGGTTTTTAAAAGCTACAATATATTATATATAGGGTATGTATAGGATATGTATGATTATATGCTATGCTTTATAATTAGTATTTGGTTTTTTGTAAGGATTGAACTCATTTCAAAAAATCTGACCCAGGTTATCTACAAGGAGAGACTTGAAGGAACCAAGTGATGATCACATCACGTGAAATCATAGCTGATATTTTAAACACTGTTTATCAGTATTGCCAGTATTGCCAGTATTGCCAGTATTACCAGTATTACCAGTATTACTAGTATCACTAGTATTGCCAGTATCACCAGTATCACTAGTATCACCAGTATTACCAGTATCACCAGTATCACTAGTATCACCAGTATCACCAGTATTACCAGTATCACTAGTATCGTTAGTTTTACCAATATTAACAATATTATCAGTATCACCAGTATTGCCAGTATTATCAGTATCACCAGTATTGTTAATATCACCAGTATTGCCAATATTGCCAGTATTGCCAGTATCACCAGTATTATTAGTATCACCAGTATTACCAATATCACCAGTATTGCCAATATTGCCAGTATTATCAGTATCACCAGTATTGCCAATATCGCCAATATCACCAGTATCACTAGTATTACCAGTATCACCAGTATCATCAGTATCATCAGTATCACCAGTATTACCAGTATCTATAGTTTTACCAGATTACTAGTATCACTAGTATTACCAGTACCACCAATATCACCAGTATCACCAGTATTGCCAGTATTACCAGTATTACTAGTATCACCAGTATTACCAGTATTACCAGTATTACTAGTATCACTAATATACCAGTATTATCAGTATTATCAAATTACCAATTTGGCTATTAAGTTGCACCATAGTTTCACCAGTTTCACCAGTTTCACCTGGTGAACCTAATTAGTTTCATCAACAACTCTAGTTCTAATAAAGTAATTACTTTGTTGATTTGATTTGAGAGCAAGTACAATATTAGGTTTATAGCCTTATTGAGAATATATATTCTTTTAAGAACTTTGTGAAATGTGAATATATAAATTGAATCAAATACTTTGAACATATTTTGAAAAAAAATCCAAATTTCTTTTTTATTTGTAGTTATATTTTTGAAAATTTGAATAAGTTGTAAAAATGATTATAATGTTGTTTAGTATAAAAAAGCTACAAAATTATAAGATAAGAGTACTTGATTGCAAATTAGAATATTAGTTAGATAAGTTGTTAAAATATTTGTAAAAAATTTTCTAGTATGATTTATTAGTGTAATAAGACAAGTAGAATTGAGTTTATAATTGTAATATTGTTTTTTGAAATTAGCCAAACATTGGCTTGTAACTACTAATCTAAAATAATTTCTTGTATTAAACAACTATTAAAAATATTTAAAAGTTAAAAGAAAGCTAATGGGAGTAAATATTATAAAACTTTATTTGCAATTCTCAAGGTTTAGTTTCTTTTTCTTTGAGTGCTGCTTTTATTATTTGATCTAGTTCTATTATGGTAATTGAAGAGAAAAGATTTATATAGATATTGTCTTAAATGTTATTAAGTGACAGATATGTTGATTCTTAGTTCTTCTAATTATTATTATTCAGAAGGTTATACTTGGTTCAGATTTTAAAGTGTAGTGTTGTATTGCTTCTTTAATTTTATTTTTGCTTGTAACTATTTTATTAAGTAAGTTGATTTTTTTAAAACTAACAGACTCTGCTCTTTTTTTTAAAATACTGATTAGTATATAACTAGTGTTATCTTTAAAGTTTGAATATTTACAGTTTGTATAAATTTAATTTGTTTACTTTGTTCTTGTCTTTTTTTAAAATTGTATACTTGCCAAATAATATATTTATATTGTTTTACTTATATTATTAAGTTAAAGTAGAAGAAGTTTAATTGTATTTATATTATTAATAGAATATTAACTTCTGCTAGAATGACTGCTCTTAACAGATGGTAGTTAGCTTAAGTTAAATTATTTAGTTAATATTAGAAAGAAACTGTAAACATTTGCTAATGTTTTAATACAAAGTATGCTTGGTTGCTTTTAATGAAAGTACAAAAAAGGTTTTAAGGATTGTAAAAATATATAAAATGTGATTATTCATTATTTTTTTAAGTTTTATTTATTTTCTTTTTATTTATATTTGGCAAAAGGTATTTTGTATATTTAAAAAAGTGCTTAAAATGTCTTTAAAGTTATCTTAATCTTCTGATATTATTTTTCTAAATTTGCATTATTTTTTTCTTTTTATTTTTAGAATTTTTTTGTAAAAAAAAGTTAGTATATCAGGCTGTATATAAAATGCAATAGTCATTGTCAAAATATGTAAAATATCAATTAATAATAAAAATTTAAAAGCTAGCAGTATGTTAGAGGAAATCCAAATATTATCTATTTGATTAAAAATAATTGAACCATGTTAAGTAGGTGTTTGAATATTATAAAAAGTCAGAAGACTAGTTAAATTAGTTGCATTCAGATTGATAAATATTGGCAGATATTTGTCTTTATGTTGGTTAGTGTTAAAATCTTCTAGTATAATTAGATGCTAATTTTTAGTTCTAGCTTTTGTAGTCTAAATTAGCATTTGTAATTAAGTATATTTAGAAAAATATATATGGTTTAAAGAAAAATAGGTTAAGATAATACAAAATTTGTTGTTATTAGAAAAGAAAAATTGATGCAGATTGCTGTTCTAGAAAGAGTATTAATTTTGTAAATATATAGTTGTAATTGGTTACAGATTATTAGAGCAGTTTCTAGACTAATTTCTTATTGATTTGCTTTATATAGTATAAAATTTGAGATATAAATTTTATATAAAGAATTAGTTAGTAATCTTGTTATTGTATCTTTTAGTTTGTTTTTATAAAAAAAAATATATACAAGTTTAGTTTAGCATAATGTTTAATTTATGTTTACATTTTTAGTATATTGTTAATGCTTCTTATATTATAAATTGCTATGTTTTTGATTTTTTTATTCAAATTAAGTTTGAGTAAAATTGAGTCTTTTTTATTTTTTACAGCTTAAATAATATTATTATCTTCTGTTATTTGTAATAGTAGATTGTTTGTATGTTATTGTTATTGTTAATGTTATTATTAATATTTTATTCTTATTTAAATTGCATATGAACTGATGCATCACTAAAAATATCTTATGTTAGTTCTAAAAGTAGAAGTAATTGAAATAAGTAGTTAGATATATTATTGACTGAATTGTTCTTTAAGTTTGTTAAGAGTTGGTTTAACTTAACTTTGTTGCATGATGAATAGTATAATTTCTGTAGTTTTAATTTGTTTTTCTATAAGTGCTTAAAAGATTTCTTAACATAATTGTGAAAAATTTGGTTTTGTTCGATTGTCAGATGCTTTTGTATTTCTACTATATTTTTTCATTTATAATATTAATTCATTTTTTTTATATTAAAGATGACTTAGATTTTTATTAATAATACATTTCAGCTTTGTAATTGTATTACAACAGCCATAAAGGCAATCATAAGAAGAGTATACAACTAGCTACTTATATAACTTTAGTTATTGTATAATTTAAATAAACTACTTAAAGGTTTTACACTAGCTGCTATATCTAGAATCTGCTTGTAAATCCTCTATTTAAACATTCTAATTTCTGTATCTACCTATTTATCTATCTTATCAGCTGTTCTAGTTTTTACTAATGTATATTTATCATAGTTACTAGGTTTTTAAAATAGTTTATTCATATAAAAAACCTTTAACCCTGTACTAAACCTACTAAAGCCTTTTGTTATCTAATTTTTAGCTAACCTGATATTACTATGCCTAAGACCAACACTTACAGTCAAAGTAATCCTTAAACTGCTACATTCTTGTAGATTTTATACAACTCCAGTACCTTCTTTTACAACCTCATCAGTATCTTGTACATTCTTGTAAGTTCTTCAATACTATCAATTCAGTTAGCTTTGTATAATGTAACTTCATATTTAGTTTAACTAGTAGCCAGATTGGTAAATCTCTTTATTTAGGTTCTTGCCTATATAGGTTATCTGTTTTAGGTTTTTGTCTTTGGATCAAGATTTTCACAGATAATACTGTTGAAGATTATACTATTTTTTTACTTGAGATTTTTAAACAGAGCTTCTTATAGAGTATATACTTTCTAGATTTATTTGTATAATATTGCATATTTCTAAAGTTAGTCTTAGTACAATCATATTTACAGGATTATAACTTCAGATACCTTATGCAAGTTACTAGAATAGGATCATTTTTTAAATTTTCTACTGCTAGTAGGATTTGAACTCTGAACCTACTGCTTAAAGAATAACAATCCAACTACTACATTAGAATTGCCATCCTTATAATATATATATATATATTTTTTTGCTTTTGCTAAGGCTGTAGTTATTGGTAGCTATTGTCTTTATTTTATTTTAATTATTATTATATAACTTGTACAAAGTAAGTATACAACTAGCCATATATACAACTTTTGGTTGTTTATTTTAAATAGTCCATCTACATAGCAGATTCTATATTAGCTATCATACTTGCAATTTATTAGAAGATTACCTATTTAAATACTCTGATTTCTATACTTATATTAACAAATAGCATACAAGTTTCTGTACACCTAAGTGCTGTCCAATCTAATCTTAACCTTCTTTTCTGTATATCTGTCAAGCTGTTACATTTTTCAGAGTACTTTACCTGACTGTAAGGCTTCAAAAAGCCCTTTTGCTAACTAACTATCTATATTTAATTGTTTTTATTAATAGAACTTATCTTTGTAGAGTTCACTCAAACCTCAGCACTAACTTAATAACATATCCCTAGTACTTATAATATATCTCTGCTTCTGACCTTAGACTCCTAATCCAGATAGTCTAAAAGGACTATAACCTGTTTCTAGTATTCCAGAGTCTGCCTCACAAGATCTTTTTCTTTTAGTTTGAAACTTCTAGCAGCCTAATTGATAGTACCTTTTATCTGAGGTTTTTGTCTATTTGATTTCTTTTATATTGGTATTCATTTTATAGGTCTAGCCTTTACAGTAGTATTGTCAAAGATCTATATTACCTCTTTATTCAAGTCTTTCCAAGTGGGCTCTGACTTCTTAGTTTACAAATTTATATAGCCACAAGGACTTATCTTGAGTTTGCACTGCCTAATGCCAGTTTGCATTCTTTTGTGTAACTTCAACATTGTGCAGATGCCCCATAACTTGCCAGTTATACTAGTGCAACTGTATTACAGATATCTTATCTCAACTGATCAACAGAATGCTGTTGCATAATATCATCTATATATTACATAGGTAATTATTCAAATTTTCACTATTAGTAAGTTTTGAACTTACTACTAACTACTTGGAGGTTGACAACTTATTTACTTCACTAAGTTATTACACCTTTGCCATCTTTATAATATTAATTTATAAGTTTGGTAGTTTATAAAAAATATATTTCTTTTAAGAATCAAGCTAAGTTAACTAGTTGTCTAGATATTCTAATTAGTAATATAATATTATATTTTGTAATTTTTTTGGTTTTCTAGTAGTCTAAATTTTTCTATTAGATTAGCTGTCATTATTTGTAAATCTAATGAAATACTAAATCTATATATTAAAATAATTTGTGAAATAAATTCTGTGGCTTTTTGGTTATCAGTGATTAGATATTTAAATTTTAGTTTAGTTTTGATTTTGATTGTATTTGTAAATAATTTTGGTTTGCATTTAATGTAGTTATTTAGTATGATTTTAAAAATATAATGTTGTCTAAGCATTTTAACTACTTTTTTTATAGTAGTTAATGGATCTTTGAAATTGAATAGGAAGAAGTATTTAATTCTTCTGTTTAATTTATAGTATATAAGCTTGATGTTGGGTTAGATAATCTAAATCATGTTTCTAAAATTTTTTGAGTTATAAATTCTAATAATTTTTGTTTGTATTCTTTAAGATTTCAAGTTTCTTTTTGTCTGTAATTGAAAATAAGTTTTTAATTACAGAATTAAGGTCTTTAAAGTTTTTTAAAAAAGGGTTTTTTATTTCAAAATAATCTTTTGACAAAGTATCAAATTTGTATATCTTATATAAAACAATTACTGTTAATTTGGTTTTATATCAATGTGTAATAGATAATCTGTATAGAAAAAGTTGTTGTATCTCTTTTGATATTTCATAAAAGTAATTTGATAGTGCTGTTCAGATGTTATTTAATGCTGTTTGTATGTTTTTTTATATGATTTGTAGGTCAAATACTGGTTTACTTCTAATAATTTTTTTTGTATATTTAATTATCTTTGCAATTGTGCTTTCTGACATTATATTAAAGTTGCAGTTTGTGATATAGTTAATAATAATCTTTTGCTATAGTTTGGTTTTGATGGTTTTCCATATTTGTGCATTAGTAATTGTAATATTGTTAATTAGTTTGTATTATTCTATTGCATATTTAAATAAAGATTTATAGTCTTCTTAGTAAGTTGGTCATGTTGCTTTATTTCTAGTAAATGTAATAAAAAATGCTGTATTCAGATATCTGAATTTTGTATTAATTGCATTGAGTATATAGAAGCTTGTTAATTTGTATATTAGTTTGTATTTAATAAGTTTTTCTATTTTTTGTTTTGTTTATAATAGCTCAAGTATTTTGTATAGTTTTAGATTTTTATGTCAAAAGGTTTAGTAATTTTTTTTGCTTGTTTATTTTGTATTGTATTAATTTATTACATTTTTGTATTCATATTATTATTTTGTCTTATAATATTTTTGCTAATGGCTTGGCTGTATATAAATTTATGTTTGTGTTTATTCAAATTATTGCTAAAAATAGTTGTATATAATTAGTTGTTACATTGCATTTTTTTTATATCTGTATCTTTTTTATTTATATTGGTTTAATTTATTCATATATTTTGAGTTTTGATTTTGCCAAAACTGAAGTTTTGTAGTTTTGAAGTACCTAAGATATTGTTAATTAGTACATTGCTGTTTATAGTAGTTGTTGTGTTGCTATCATCTGCAATAATCTGCAACTTGCTATTTTTATTAATTGAGTTTGTTGTTATAACTTTTGTGTAACTAATAATATCATTTTGAAATTCTTTTATTTTTTATTTTTTATTTATTTTTGTATATAAAGAAAGAGTATTTATTTTGTTCAGAAAAGAGTTCTTTTAAAAAATAAGATAATATTATATTTATAGATTTATTGTAAAAAAATATTTTATAGTTTTTAGAAAAAATAATAGTAGTAATTTTTTTAAAAAAAATTTAAAAAAAAATTAGTTTTTATTTTTATTTTTATTTTTTTTTGGTATTAAGGTAACCTTTTTAGTTTTTTGACTTTATTAACAACTTTTTTGATAATGTAATTTAGTAAACTACTACAAAAGAGCATATAATTAACTATATATATAACTTTTTTATATTACATATTTAAGAAGTCTAGCTAAAAGTTCTTTGCCAATTGCTATATCTAATATTTCTGCTTGAATGTTCTATTTTAAACTCTTTAAATCTGCAATCTGTATTAATTTTACTGAGTTATATTTAGATGTTTAGATTATTATTTTAACTTTAAGACTATTTATCTTTAAGGTAAACCTTCTAAAGCCTTCTGTTCCTATTTTTACAACTAATTTAATATTATTATAACAGAACCAATACTTGTAATTAAAGCTAACTATTAAACTGCTATGCCTTTGTAGAGTTCATACAGATCTTAGCATCTACTTCACAGTATATCTCTAGTACTTTAGTATATTCTTGCCTTTTTACTAGACTTTTAATTCAGACAGCCTATATAAAACTATGATCAATTTATCAATATATCAGATTAGCCTAATATTTTTTTCTTTTAATTTGTTTTGATAATCTAGTTAATAGTACTTCTGAGCCTTCCTTAACTTGAAAGTTTTAGCTTATCTAGATACTATAACCTTTGTATTTATTTTTAGTAGTCTAGTCTTTATAGTAGCATTATTGAAGATCTGGCTATTTCTTTATTTAGATCTTTTCAAATAAACTTCTAGTTATCTAATTTCAACAAATTTATACAGTCACAAGAACTTATCTAGTGTTTGCACTATCTAATTGTTGGTTGCATTTTTTTGTATAACTTTAACATTGCACAAATGCTTTATAACTTG